GGCAAGGGGACGTGGGGTTAAATTATACGATTTCTTTCTTGAATTATACTGATGTTAGTTAATCGATAGTCTGGGCGCCTATTTGCGCAGAGAGACGGGGAAAGGAAAGGTTAGATTGTTCGGGTTAGATATCCAGAGAAACGCGAGAAAACCTCAAAAAACGCTTTTTTTGCTGGATGTCCAAAACCGAAGAATAACTAAAATAGGTTAGAAAGGGTCATAGAAACCCAGCCAAAATTGGTCGTTCCAAAAATCGCGATTATTGGTCAGTTTTTTTTTTTTGAAAATATGACTAAGGACTGTACGAAACAGGGCCGATTATTTCTATTAGCTGTTAAGTAAAAGACGGTGATCTGGGCAGGTTTGGATTCATGATATTAGTGATCTGGGATTTGTGGATATGCCTAAAAGCCTGCAGCGATGAGAAAATATGCATATTTAAATTTGTAATTCCTTTTTTTAGGGCAGACGTACAATTAGGGAAGAGAGAGATATTTTGCCTCGAAAGTTGCGTGAAAGGAAAAAATGTGAAAACTTAAGCGTAAGCAGGGTTTTTTTTCTTTTGCACGTTATTTTGAGAATTTTTTTTAGTTTTACCTTAATATGCATATTTAAATTTTTAGGGCAGACTTACAATTAGGAAAAAGAGAAATATTTTACCTCGAAAGTTGCGTGAAAGAAAAAAATGTGAAAACTTAAGCGTAAGCAGGGTTTTTTTTTCTTTTGTACTTTATTTTGAGGATATTTTTTTAGTTATTTTTACCTTAATATGCGTATTTAAATTTTTAGGACAGGCGTACAATTAGGAAAAAGAGAAATATTTTGCTTCGAAAGTTACGTGAAAGGAACAAATATGAAAACTTAAGCGTAAGCAGGGTTTTTTCCTTTACGTTTTGCATTTAAGGGAATTTTTTAAAATATTTTTACCTTCAAGAATTACCTTTTTTTTTTAAATTTTTAATCAGGATTCCAAATTTCCTCAGTACTTACTCTCTGTGAAAAGCAGAAACAAAGGAAATAGTTTTTCGAGTGTTGGCACGTGTTGAGAACAACCATCCGGCTGGATTTTTGATGCTCAT